TATTTCTCCATTTTTGCACCGGACGGGTTTGGGATTTTCCTCTCCCTGTTCGCTGCCTTGGTCGTCTTCTTCTCCTCTCTCTCTCTCTCCCCCTCCTTTTTTTTTTCTTTTCCTTTTCTAAAAATACTTGACAGCGATTGAAAGGTCCCTTTAATCGAGGCCACAGAGCCCTTATTAAGGGCACGGGTCGGGGTGCTGGGCCGTGCCCGGCATAACGGCTTCATTAAACCCCGCAAAAACTAATATTTATGGAATCAAATTTATGGAGGCTGAGGCCGAACTTGTGGCCTTTAATGTGTGTCGGGAGCTCAAATCCAGCCGGCTCCAGGGAGGAGGGGGTGGGGACAGGGAAGCAGATCCCAGTGGGACAGGATGGGACAATGAGTAGTGACACTCCTCGGACCTGGCAGCAACCTGGGCCAGGGAGGCACCGGCAGCCCCGTGCTGGAGTCTTGGGGGCTGGGGTCCCTGCAGTGGCCTGGGGGGCATCAGCAGAGCTATTTTTCCCACTGATGTGTTCACTCTCCTGCTTTTATCTACCCCCATGTCCATGCTCCTGCAGCCCCTTGCCTTGGGAGCAGGGTGAGAGCAGCAGGATCTGTCCCTGAAGCAGGTCTTTACCCCCAGCTCATGCCTGCCGGGGTGCTCGCCTGTCCCTTGGGCGCAGAGCTGCAGGACTCCCTGGGGCCACTTGCTCTGCAGCAGGACAGGGCTCTTGAGCTCTGCCCCTGCAGCATCCCTGGGACAGGGACAGGCTACCCTGAGCTGAGCACCCCAGAGAGAAGCAGAGACACGGCCTGGGTGCAGCTGGCAGCTGGGACAACCCAGTGGTGTAGGTGCTGGGTTGCACCACCCGCTCCCCTATAGGGCCCCCCAGCCACTGGCACAGCTGGGATAGGAACGTGTCACCCCCCATGTGATGTCCCATCAGCCGTGAAGGAGACAGATGAACCAAATGCCCTCACTGGGGTGGTAAATCATCATCCTGCAGGTCCCAGGTTACACTGGGGAGCAGCATGAACCCCAGACTCCACAGGGATATGGGGGACCTGGCTTGGAACAGAGCAGCTCCCAGACCAGGAGATGGAGCCCACATGGGTGGAGCAGAGGTTCCACCAGGGGACAACCCGGTGACAGAAGACACATGAAACATAAAGCTGCCAAACTACTGCCCTGGTCCTACCCAGCCGGCAGCAGGACCTCCCCTCGGGCAAGTGCCTGGCAGGCAGACCCAAAGCTGCCAGGGCAAGCAGCTGGCAGATGGGGGAAGGCAGGATACGCAGCCCCCCATCCGGTGGCTTCCCCTTCCCACCACCCACCCTGTCCCTCACGCTGCTCCCTTGGAGAGGAAACATAAAAAGCAACTGGTTGCTCTCACCCTGGGACTGGCCGGCCACGGCCCAGCAAAGGCCCTTTCATTCCCCTTCCACAGACACAGGGGCTGCTCTGGATGTTTTTGTTTCCCCCCTTGCCGCCCGGGAGAGCCGGCAGTGTCACTGCAGCTGGCCCAGCCCCGGGGAGCAGGGCAGCTGGGCGCACAGGTCCCTGCCCCAGGAGAGCGTCACCGCAGGCTGCTGCCTGCCCGCCTGCATTTTTTGGATGGATGGATGGATGGATGGATGGGTGGGTGGATGGATGGATGGATGGATGGATGGATGGATGGATGGATGGATGGACGGACAGACGGACAGACAGGTAGGGTGTGGAGGGGAAGAGGTGGTGCTTTGTGCCCATGGAGCATCTGTATCCTACTCCAGGGCTGCTCCCAGGCCTGGGAGCTTTCAGTGTGTTAGTGGCTTGGTTGTCCCCTGCCCCTTGGAGGCCAGCAGATGGATTAACCCCATATCACCTGCCCACTAACCCTGGGGGAGCTGCCTGCATAGGGAGGGTGGTCCTCAGCACAGCCAGGCAGCCTTTGCCAACCCGCTGCTACAGGGCCTTCACCTGGCTCCAAGCACCAGCACATGGTGTGTCCCCAGCGTGGGACAAAGAGATTGTGGGCTCCAGGCCCTCCAGCACATTGTGCCCACTCCACGTGCTGCTGCTGCTGCTCAGGGTGAGCCACGGCATGGCCTTCGAGCTGCCATCCTGCCCCACAGCAATGAGCTGCTCTCATCTCCTCACTGTCCAGACCCATTGCAAGCTCCCAGGACAGTGGGACTGGCCTCAGGGGGACCCAGCAGCACTGGGGGCTTCACCCCTGCCTGGACACTGTGTGTCCAGGGGGGACAGAGCAGGAGGAGAGGGATCTCACCCAGACCCAGCACTTTATTGAGAACCCACGTGAGAGCAGCCAAACCCAGGGGTCCTGCTGGAGTCCCTGCTGCCCCACACCCACCCGGCAGCATCCCTCCCACCGCCTCCGGGTCCAGCGCTGGCTCCATCATGGGGCAGCCTGGGCAAGCTCTACACCAGGGAAGAGGCAGAGCAGAGTTTCCTGAGACACTGTTGCAGAGAGGAGATGCCCCATCACCCCAGTTGGAGACACCTCAGGAGGGGACCATGCCCCAGGCCAGGGAGATGCAGGCAGGGAGGCAGAGGACACATGGGCGTTCTGCACTGCCTCTCTCCGATGCTGGGGGGAGCAGAAACCCTCGGGGTGGGTGGCAGCGACCTTTCAGCTGAAGAGTCCCTTTGCCTTTTTCGGCTTGGCCTTGGCCGCTGGCAGCCGTGGCTTCTGAGCTGGGGAAGAGGCCGGCTGGAATGAGAGCGGAGGCAGCGTCAGTCCCGCCTAGGGTGTGTGCACATCTGAAAGCAGTGAGATCCCCCCCACACCCCCATGGTGCTGTGCAAACCAGACACACACGTGTGCAATGGACCCACACGCTCCCCAGCCAGGATGCACGGGGTAGGATGGGCTAGGAACTCAGCTGAGACCCCCCAGCCCATCCTGGAGGGGTACAGGGCTGGGATGCGGGGAGTGATGGGAGGCACAGGCCCCCTCCTGCCATTGGTAGGGAGAAGCTGCTCCTAGAGCTGCACTCACCGTGGTTCCCTCGCTGGAAGATGCTGTTTCATCCTCCTGGGATGGAGGCAGAGGACAGGGGTGCTCTTCAGTTTCTGCAGCGGGCACCGGGCTCTCGGCGTCCTCTGGCACCAGCAGAAAGAGGCGGAATTCAGGATTGAGATGAGGGAGCACAGGGCATTGCCCAAACCCACACCAGGATCAGCACCTGGGTGGGGGAGCTCAGCCCACCGTGGGAAAGCAAAGGGGGCCACTGTTGCGTGGGGTGAGCTGCCCCCAGGGCCGCACTCCCCCCCGGGGTGGGGGCTCAGCCGCAGGGAGGCTGGGTGCTTCAGGCTCTCCTCATCCCACGGCCGCAGAGCTCCTCACCTGAGCGCTGCCGTTTCTGAGCCTGCTTGGTCTCCTGCTGTGTCACTGCCGTGTAGAGCTGCTGCAGCGCCGAGGCGAACGCCTGGCCCTCTGCCGCGCCGCAGATCTGGGGCAGGCTCTGCAGGAGAGAGCAGAGGCACCGTCACCCTGTCAGGAGCCAGCTCTGCTGGGACACCCTGCCACGGTGCCGCAGTGGGACAGCGAGTCACAGAATCACAGAATTTTCAGGGTTGGAAGGGACCTCTGTGAGTCATCCAGTCCAACCCCCTGCTGAAGCAGGGTCACCGACAGCAGGCTGCACAGGACCTTGTCCAGGCAGGGCTTGAATATCTGCAGAGAAGGAGACTCCACAACCTCCCTGGGCAGCCTGTTCCAGTGCTCCATCACCCTCAGAGGGAAGAAATTCTTCCTCATGTTCAGACGGAACTTCCTCTGCTTCAGTCTGTGCCCGTTGCCCGTTGCCCCTTGTCCTGTCACTGGGCAGAGTTTGAGTTTTGAAAAGAGTCTGGCCCCATCCTCCTGACACCCACCCTTGAGATATTTATAAGCATTTATTAAATGAAGGGGCTGTGCATCCCTCTGCCCATCAACCTCCATCTGCTTCACCCCAGGGACCACGTCACGGCTCGCTGGGCCACCCAGCTCTGTCACTGGGCAGGACGCGGCTGCTCCCCAGCCATGTGCACACACACACACCCGCACAAGCCTGTGCACACACCCGCCCA